TCTCATACGGATATTTGAATGTTAATGAAACGCTAATTCATAGTTACTGATTAATTTAATTATGAATTAGCCGAAACGTAAAATTACTCAATTTAAAGACGAAATTAATTTCAATTCGACTCTCTAGTTGTGTGCATTGAAGTTGTCGTCGGCCTTAGACACCAGTTAACTATGGTAGAGGACGATTGTAGGCATTTTAACAAACAAAAAAAGTGTGTTCTTGGAATCTAATCCAATCTTCTCACAGTCCCTCATGGATAATATCGACTTGGTTGTGGCTAATGTATTGAGAAATGTACAGAATTTTGTAGTTTATTTGTTTAGAACACACACAAAGAAGATTTGGTTTATAGAGTAATAAATCTTCATAGAATTTTGATAATCCTTTGTACTTGAACCATTGATTTAATCTAGTAGGGTAGATATAGTTATTTTAGAAGAAGAAAAAAATAATAGTTTTAAGAGCATAAAAATACGTAATGAGTATTGCAGATAACGTTTAGATAAATGGCACTTCTATTTATTACTAGAGTAGAGGACGATTGTAGGCATTTTAACAAACAAAAAAAGTGTATTCTTGGAATCTAATCCAATCTTTTCACAGTCCCTAATGGATAATACGGATCTGGTTGTGGCTAATGTATTGAGAAATGTACAGAAATTGTAGTTTCTTTGTTGAGGACACACTCAAAGAAGATTTGGTTTATTTAATCCTCAATCTTCAGCGGATTTTGAAGAGATTCGCTGATTAATACAATTACATTCATTTATCAAATACTGATAATAATACTATTCGGATTATGATTTGGTTGCTCTAAAATTCAAAATATAATCGAAACGAAATACAGAATCATCGAAATGAAAGATGTTCAACTTTAAATTACTTGTGATGTCACAATAATTCGTCTGGTTATTATTCCCCTTCGCACTTTTTGATGCCAGTAAAATTCTGCCGACTAATAAAGTATTGACCTTATCATTCTTAGCAAACTTTGTGTCAGATGTAAATACAATTCCGTCTCTGAATCTGCACAGTTTGCACTTGCGATAACCAAAGTTACTATCGCAAATCGACTTAACGTTTTTGAGTTTCGTCAAGTACAGCAAATGCAATTCCTCTGTATTTTGTATCCTCGACATCTCGTTTTTCTTCAGCTCGTAAAGCATATCCGCGTAATCGTTAATTACCACACTAGTTTCCATCAATTGCAATCGTCTATTCTTGTATTTGCCTTCGGCAAATAATGATACTGTATTCAGTAGAGGCTGCGCAAATTTACGTACGTTTCTGTCCTTTACTGTGTAAATTCGTGGAGAAAATCTTGGTTGTCTTATTAATTTCTCGTGTAAATACTTCATGCATTCTGGATTCTCTTTTACCACTTCTACGTTGGGTTCTTCGTGATGAAACATTGCAGTGGCGCCAGTACACCGCTTATAGTTTTCATTCTCGTGTGAAGAAAATGTGTTTCCCATCACCGAAATACTTCTGTACTCGAACAATAGTTGTAGCAGAACTAACTAAAAAAATTAAACCGATGTAAACACATACTTTAATTTGCTGACATATCGTATTATATACTGATAAATAATAAATAAACAATGTTTGGATCTTATGCGAATGTTATATAAATATTTATCCCATTAAAATGCTGATATACAATGCCAGACTTGTTATAAGCACCTTAATTGATGCATTTCTGAAAATTTAAGTTTTTTATGAATTAAGATAGGAAATGATCCAAAATAACGAAAATATTGGAAATTTTGTATAATGAATTTCAACATATATTAACTGCATTTATTATAATTTGATTTTTTTTATAATGCAAAATATAATCGAAACTAAATACAGCATCATTTAAATTAACGGTGCTTCTTGCACTGTTTGATTCCACTAAAATTCTGCCAAAAAATAGAATACCTTTATTAGAAAACTTTATGTTACATCTTCCTTATCATACTTAAAAAAACTTTGTGTCTGATATGAATACAATTCCTTCTCCGAATCTGCACTGTTTACATCTTTTATAATCAAAGTTGCTCTTGCAAATTGACTTAACATTTTTTAGTTTTGTCAATTACAGCAAATGCAATTCCTCTGTATTTTGTATCCTCGACATCTCGTTTTTCTTCAGCTCGTAAAGCATATCCGCGTAGTCGTTATTCACTACACTGGTTTCCATTAATTGCAATCGAGTATTCTTGCCTTTGCCACATGATGATACGCGTTTCTTTACGTAATGTTATTTCATTTCGTGTGAAAATTTGTGGAGAAAATCTTTTTAATTCCTCGTGTAAATACTTCATGCATTCTCGATTCTCTTTTACCACTTCTACGTTTTGTTCTCTGAGTTTTCCGCCATATTTGGATACACTCTCCTCAAGTCCGTTCTTGCACTCGCACTACGATGTAGTGGTATATTTCTCATTCCTGGGCGAATAATAAGCGTTACCCATTTCTCAAGACTAAGTAAACCCAATGAACCTATGGAAAAGCATAATAATATTTAATCTATACTGATAAAAAAAAAACTGCGATCAATCAGATTGTAAATAACTTCAAAGCCAATAGAGTTTTCTAAACTTTATTTCTAATTGCTCCTTAGCTATTTGACTTTTGTTGATTTGGACAGATCTTGTCCATTAAGTCTTACAGTTGGACAGGTGTCTTTCTTTAGCGTGAATGTGATATGCACGGATTTCATTTCGTTAACTGCTATTCTCCATTTTTCAAGCCATTCTTGTAGCTTATATTTATTTTCCTGTAGATATTCGGATGCTACTGCTGGATTCACATCTGATGTCAAGATTGCTGTGTCATCAGCGAATGTTGCAATCGTAGTATTGTTAGTTTTAGGAATATCTGCCGTGTATAGAAGATAAAGCCGTAATCCTAAAACACTTGCCTGCGGCAACCTTGATTCTATTGGATATTAATCGGTGTATACGTCTTCTATTTTTACCTGAAACATTCTATTATCAAGGTATCATTTTATTATTTTAAAATAATTATATGGCAAGTTCTTCTTTATTTTGTATAGTAGTCAGAGATACCAAACTTTGTCAAAAGTGCTGCAATTTTCTTTTCTCTTTAATAGAATGTAAGTTATTAATTTATACAGAAATAAAGTCACTTTAATTTTGTTTATTAATTTCTAATTGTTATAATTTTCAAGATTTTACGTGTTAAACACATTAATTTGTCCATTGTACAAAATTTATTTATTGAAGTGTTTACTATAAACGTTTTCAGTTATATATACAGTGGAACCTCGCATAACGAGCATTACGCTTAACGAGCAAAATTAATTGTAAGAAAACGAACGACGTTTCGCATAACGAGTGATGAGGAGAAGAGAAGTCCCGGATTTTGCGCCTTCTACATCATTTTTAAAACTTATGTAAACATATTATGTGTATTTTTGAATATGTTACACTATACTAGTAAAAATCCGGAATTTTTGGAACAGATTAAACTCGTTAAGCGAGGTTCCACTGTATATTTGATTACAAACAATTATGTGATGATTTTTATTTATTTTTTTGTAAATATAAATAACTTTTAGTATTTCGTGCTGCGCTGTTTTAATTATAGAAAGTTGTATTATTTTACGTCCGTTTCGTTTCCAAGAATTTCGCAATTGCGCTAATGGTAATTCCAGGCATCCTTGATGAGCATTCTGATGATTGTAAAAACAAAACTAGATTCTTTTCATAATTGTTATTATTTCCCAGATTGCGGTCACTATAAAAACTACTTTCCTATATTCATTAACAAAGCATAGCAATGATATTTAGAAAGTATAATTTATATATAGAGTAAACAAAAAGTGGCAAATTACATGATAAGCTTATAAACAACTACAGGATATGCCTTTCAGATTTGATTACCGCATTTTATATTATTATTATCATGCAACAGCCATACAAAAGTGATCTTTAATAATTACATCTTTATATTGCAAAAGGAATATTAACCATTAATAATAATAATATTTATTGCAACAAATTACCAAAATATGAACTTAACATAGTAATTAATTTAAACTGCTGCAAATGGCAGTTGGTGTTGTAATATATTAACTTTGATAAAATACTATTAAAAACAACTTTAATCTAATATTTATCACGAGCATATTTAAAAATGTAAACAGCGTGACTTGCTGCGCCACAATGAGCAATCATTAACAAATTCATTAATCTATAGTGATTTATCAATTTCTGAGGCTTAATTTCAAGCCAAATGTAAAAAAATCAAAGTAATCAGTGATTAGTTGCATGTTCATAATGTCGCTGAAAAATGATCAACATTGATGTCATATGCAATATGTCTGCTGTCAGATCATCATTTGACTTAACCTTGATTCTCGTTTGTTTTTATGTTTACGTTTAGCGGATAAAACTATCTCTCTGGCAAAACACACAGAGATATCCGTACATTACAATCGCGAGCTGTAGTAGCTGCAATACAGAACACATCATTCTGCATACCCAGAGGCAGCAGTATTAGTAATTTCACTCGGTGCGCTGTAAATTTCTCGCGTTGACCTACATTCTTTCCATCGGGAGGAGAGAAATTTCGCGGAAGTGAGAATCATTCGACATCGAGATGGCCAGCAACCAAGAGATCTACAAGAAGCAGAAGACTTGTCTGCAGGTCGCCACCAACGTCACCGAGCAGAAGCACCATGTGTCTAGAGCGAAGAGAGGCCAGATCCTTGGTCACAAGAGGGGCTTCAGAGGCTGCACTGTCTGGTTCACAGGACTCTCGGGTGCAGGTAAAACGTCCATTGCATTCCAGCTGGAGGAGTACCTGGTTGCACAAGGGATTCCTGCATACGGCTTGGATGGTGACAACATGCGCACAGGTTTGAACAAGGACCTGGGATTCACCAAGCAGGACAGGGAGGAGAACATCAGGAGAGTGGCTGAGGTTGCCAAACTCTTTGCTGATGCTGGCCAGGTCTGTCTGTGCAGTTTTGTGTCACCATTTTCTGAGGACAGGGATGTAGCTAGGAGAATCCACAGGGAATCCGATCTGCCTTTCTTTGAGGTCTTCATAGATACTCCTTTAAAGGTGTGCGAGAAGAGGGATACCAAGGGTTTGTATCATAAGGCCAGGCAAGGTATGATCAAAGGTTTCACCGGCATTGATCAGCCATATGAGAAGCCTGAAAATCCAGAGTTGGTGGTGAAAACTGTTGATTCAACTGTGCATGAATCTACAATGCAAGTGGTTGAGTTGCTTGAGGAGAATGGAGTTATCCCAAAGATCACCAATGTCAAGGAGTTGGTTCAAGAGTTGTTCATTCCCATGGATAGACTATCTGCTGCCCAGGAAGAAGCACTTACTTTACCAAAATTGAATATTAATTTAATCGATTTACAATGGATACAGGTAATTATTCATACTTATAATATTCAATTTTGTTATTAAATATTATAAAATTTCAGGTGTTGAGTGAAGGCTGGGCTTATCCTTTGAAGGGTTTCATGAGGGAAGAACAGTATTTGCAAACGCAACATTTCAATTGCCAATTCAATAACGGCAACAGCGTTAACCAGAGTGTGCCGATTGTGCTGCCTCTCTCCACCGAAGATAAGTTAAGGATGGAGGAGTCTTCGGCTATCTCTCTGTGGCATTCGAACGTTTGCGTGGCGATTCTGCGTAAACCCGAGTTCTTCTTCCATCGCAAAGAAGAGCGATGCGCAAGGCAATTTGGTACAACCAACAAGGATCATCCGTACATCAAAAAGATTTATGAGTCTGGCGATTGGTTGGTGGGCGGAGATCTGGAGGTGTTCCAGAGGATTCGATGGGGCGACGGATTAGATCAGTACCGGTTGACGCCCAACGAGCTTAGAGCCAGATTCAAACACATGAAAGCTGACGCTGTATTCGCGTTCCAACTGAGGAATCCCATTCACAATGGACACGCTCTTCTCATGTCGGATACCAGGAAGCAGTTGAGGGACAGAGGATTCGAAAGGCCCGTTCTTCTGCTTCATCCGTTGGGTGGCTGGGTTAAAGACGACGATGTACCTCTGCACACCAGGATGCTACAACATCAAGCTGTTATGGATGACGGTCTTCTGGAAGCAGAATCCACGGTTCTTGCAATCTTCCCCAGTCCAATGATGTATGCTGGACCAACGGAGGTGCAATGGCACGCAAAGGCTCGCATGAATGCCGGTGCCAACTTCTACATAGTAGGTAGAGATCCAGCTGGCGTGCCTCATCCATTAGGCAAAGAAGCAAGTCCTGATGGTAACCTGTACGAAGGCACGCATGGTGGAAGAGTGCTTAAAATGGCTCCAGGTTTGAATACTTTGGAGATCATTCCATTCCGAGTGGCCGCGTACGATGTGAAGAACAAGAAGATGGCATTCTTCGATCCGAGCAGAAAGGAAGATTTCGATTTTATTTCCGGTACACGCATGAGAGGTTTGGCCAGGTCAGGGGAATCACCTCCGGACGGTTTCATGGCTCCTAAAGCCTGGAACGTCCTCTCAAACTACTACATGTCTTTAAACAAATGTTAAACCAAAGAGATTCAAGCACGTGAATCAAAAATGCATTTACGCAAGTTAAAACATATGATTAAATTATATCTCAGGTGGCACTCCTAAGCTGCACATTCAAAAAATTAGTGATGAAGAAAATCACGTTAAATTGCTTTTCAGACTAGGTATTATTACTTCTACTTATTCCCCTGTAGTTAAGCAGAAACAAAATTATATATATTTAAGTTATAAGTGTTACATATTGTATAATCAAAATAACTAGAAACATGCACTGAAGTGCAGAAGATATTTTAAACAATATATTCAAAAATTATTTTATTTTTTTATATTATATTCACATTAATACGGACTTGTTGTTACACATTATATAAAATTTATTATGTTAATTGTATATGTTATATTTTATCAAGAATATAGTAACCAGAAAAATATCAATCTTTAATTTTATAATATTTTCAAACTGAACTATTTCCGTTGATTCCTTTTGTTCGCAATACGAACTACTCGAGTTCTTAACCTCAAACAACAAAAATGTTTAATTGGAAATACGTTTGGGTCCTGTGTCCCTTCGCCGCTGGCTACCTTTGCTACAGGATGTGCCGCAACAACAAACTGCAATTTGAAAAGACCGCACTGGATCATAGAAAGCACAACTGTGTTGTTATGTACAGTAGGGAAAGAGGAATGTGTGGTTGGCCTGAGTATCCTGAAGGCTTGAAGACAAGCATATCAACTTACTACTTGTTCAATGAGCCTCTATTATTCTTTGTTAAAACAGCGAAGAAAACTGTCGATATTGCTATAATGCATATGTCCTTGAGAGCGCTTCTGGACTCGCTCGTGGATGCTTTGGATAGGGGTGTTGCTGTGAGGATAATTTTCGATTACACCTCGATGCGAACCGTTGATCTGAAATTCCTGGAAGCCGCTGGTAAATTCATATATTCAATATACTTGTGCGAGTTATTCCAATTGGATTTTTACAGGTGCTGAGATTATTTACTACGTGAACGACGAGAGCGAGAACATTTTCCATTACAAATACGCTGTTAAAGACTACTCAGATAAAACTAAAACTGGATACGCCATGTGCGGATCCATGAATTGGTCCCAAACTGGGATCATCGAGAACTACGAAGACATCGTCTTGACAACGGCCAAAAGTGTTGTGCAGTCTTTGCACGATAACTTCGAGGAGAGTTGGACGTTCCTGAAGAAGGAAAACTGCAGAAACGTCTACGTTAAAACGGTTTTAGACGATTTCTTGTAGATTGCAAATTGCAATTCCATTTTATATATTTAACAGTTTGAGATTGAATTTACTCACAGTATTATTTCCTTTTGTTCAGTATTTTTATGTAGATTTAAAACTGATTTATAAGTTACTAATCAGTTTTAATTTATATTTTTTTGTTATAAATAATATATTTTGTATGTTTTTACAAATGTGTTTGTTTATTTGATTTCGCTTGAATCAAAGCGTGCTTTAAAAACGTATCCTAGCAAAACAAAAACAAACATCCTGAAAAGTTCCAAATATTGTAATGATTCCAGCTTTAGAAAGCTGGAAGAATCTACAAAACAGTGGAGAATTTTAGGATTTGTAAGTTATTTAATTATATTAATTATTTAAGAGAATTAAAGCTCTTATTTCCGTAATTATCATTAAATTTTTGGCTTAGATTTGAATAATTAATCAATTTTCAATAGGGAAAAAAATAAATTATTAATGAAATATTACTTAAGAAAAGAGTATAATAAGTATAAATGGATATTCGTTAATTATTAGATAATAGAAATTAGTTCATTTTCAAAACAAGTTCGATTTTTTCTCGATAGTCGTACAATCTTGTTAGAAGAAAAGTAGTTCCAATAAACAGCGTTGTAAATATTTATATAGAGTAAAAAAAGTATAGAAGAAAGCTGAATTAAAAAAAAATAAAAGTATTATTATTATTTGAAAATTGTATAACGTAACTATTGTACAGAAAAGTCACTTATAACTCAGTATATACGATGGCCGGTAATTTTTGGCAAAGTTCACATCAGTAAGTTAAAAATGATTTCTAGGTTAAGTATCGTTTGGCAATTTGTTGTGCATTAATAGTTTTCACGTGAATTTAGTCAGCAGTGGTTGCTGGATAAGCAGGATTTAATTAGGGAAAGGCAACATGATCTGAATATACTGAATGAGGAAGAGTATCAAAAGATTTTCATATTTTTCTCGAGTGGTATGTATTTGTGTCTCATTGTCTTCATAACTTGATTGATCAGTCTTCTTTCAGTTATCCAAACACTTGGGGAACAGCTGAAGTTAAGACAACAAGTCATAGCCACAGCTACAGTTTACTTTAAGAGATTCTATGCGAGGAACTCTTTGAAATGTATAGATCCTTTGTTATTAGCACCAACATGCTTATTCCTAGCCTCAAAGGTGGAAGAGTTTGGGGTCATTTCAAATTCAAGACTGATTACAACTTGTCAGACTGTGGGTAAGTATATTATTGATATTGATGAGAAAAAGAATTCTAATGATTTTGTGTTTTCAGTTAAAAACAAATTTTCATACGCTTACAGTCAGGAATTTCCATATCGTACCAATCACATTTTGGAATGTGAATTCTACCTCTTAGAGAACCTTGACTGCTGTCTCATAGTTTATCAACCATACAGACCTCTTTTACAATTGATCCAAGACATGGGACATGAAGAGCAACTGCTCACCTTGGCTTGGAGGATTGTAAATGATTCACTCAGGACTGATGTTTGTCTATTATATCCACCTTACCAAATAGCCATTGGTTCTTTGCAAGTAGCCTGCGTCGTCCTGCAGAAGGATCACAAGGCTTGGTTTGCCGAACTCAACGTTGACATCGAGAAGATCCAAGAGATTGCGCGATATATCATCAACCTGTTCGAGCTGTGGAAGCAGTACGATGAAAAGAAGGAGATCAGGGAGCTTTTAACCAAAATGCCGAAGCCGAAACCGGCGCCCCAAAGATAAGATTACGTTTTAGATGGAAATAATTCGTTTATATCGATTTAAGCCTGTATTAATTTTAATTATTTTGTATACGATGACACATTAAATTTAAATATTTTGATTTCATGTAAAAAATATTTATTTTTAATTGCCATTTGGAAAAGTTTAATATTTCATCCTTGGGTCATTAAAACATAGACTGAGGATCGAATATTATTATTAGTTTAATGGAATATAGTATTTTTTTTTAAATAATGTTTTGCAAAATATTTTTAAAGAAGTTCAGTATTTCCATCTTTTAATGTTAATCTCAAATGTATCTTGCGAATTCTTATCATACTCTATTAGATGAACATCCAGGTATATATTAATAATTAAAGTCTAAATTATATTTTCCAGCTGTTCACAGCAATAAATTATTTCCTATATTGAAGTTTTATTTATATTGTTTATTTCAAACAAATCAATTGACAATTATTTGTTTTATCAAAAAAAAAAAACTAAACTTTTGTTTTGTTTGCAGATAAATGAAAATATTTGGTATGTCTTGAAAAAATTAGTAGCTGTTTTATATTATAACTTTCGAAGAAACAAGTCTTGGTGAGTTTTAGTTTTGATTTATCAATTTATTCAAAAAAATATAAAATGGACGGACACTTTTACAATTATAAAACAATGATAAAAAATATATCTGAGATTCATAATATATCTATATAAAGAAGAAATGGTAATGATAACATATAGTACGAAAAAAAAATATATAAAGAAAGAGTTGGTTATTGTTTTTGTAATTAGACTTGGTCAATACATAAACACTTTTGTGTATCAACTCTTTGAACATGGTTGTAGCATTTGCTACGTGAGAGTTATTTATAATAACTTTTAAACGAAATTATGTTAGTTATGCAGTTAAAAACAAAATTGAGAAGAAAAAGCTTCTTTTGTCACGTTTTCATCAGTCTCAGGTATACACAAAAATTAAAAAAAAAATAGATATTTAGTTGTTCATGATCTTGAATGTATGTACTGTTTAATCAACTCTCAGTAAAATAATCAAATTTGTGTAAATTTTAAGTTTTCTTTAAAGTAAATTTTCAGTCATGTAATGTGCATTCTTCAGTTCAGTTCTTTTGAAGTTTTATTCTTTTCATAAAATGTTTATTGCTTGCTTAACAGTTGTATCATTTTACTGAGAGATGAATAAACAATGTTAAATATCTTTAATTTTCGTGCTTATCCAATGGAAACTTTCTGTTCAAAAGCTTTCTCCTCCCAATCGGCGTCGGTAGGCAATGCTGTATGGCGTAGCTTGCACAACCTAGGCCCGTATCTGAGCATTACCATGATGACTCCGACAATTAAGAATAGTGTTAGGCAGGCGGTGGCCGGCCAATAAACGTGGAACATCTTAAATGTCGCTCTCTCTGCTCTTCTGGTGCTGCAGCTCCAAATACTCTATAGGTCTTGTCGACGTGCTTTGCGGGAACTCCAAGTCGCTGTACTCTGTCGTGCTTCTCGGTAATTCAGTTACAATAGATGTAGGTATAACAGAAGGGTTCAATTCGGTGCAATCCAAAGGTGGTTGCTTATGCGGTGTTGCTGTCCACAACGATAAAATATAACGGTTTCCTGAAAGAAATAGAAACAAATGTTACAGATTTTTTTTATCAAAAAATTTAAATTTATTGTATAAATACATACAAATTGAAAATTAAGAGAATTTGTTTAAATTAATTTTATTGTTTTTCTTCTTGAAGACACAAAAAAGATGATTTCACGTAAAAAAAATTCAATTAAATTATCAAATGAAACAAAGGCTTGAATTTGGCTACTGTTGAAAAGAAAATGTAACATTATTTATTATCTACAAGAATTTTAAAGAGAATTTGTTTAAATTAATTTTATTGTTTTTGTTCTTGAAGACACAAAAAAGATGATTTCACGTAAAAAAATTCAATTAAATTATCAAATGAAACAAAGGCTTGAATTTGGCAACTGTTGAATAGAAAATGTAACATTATTTACTATCTACAAGAATTTTAAGTGTGTTCTAATGATTTCAATGATTAAGCTATTTATTTCAGAGAATTCAATATTGTCAAAGCATGAGATTATAAGTAAATTACAAAGCACAAATTAGCGACATGTAGTAATTAGTTAAATGTGTTTTTTACCTGTATATCTGTCGTTCCAATAGGCGGAATGTTTGGAGCAGCAGCCCAGGACCAAATTGATGATAACGGCCGTGACAAAAACGATGGTACAAATGGAGACTGTTATGTAGAATGGAGTGAAATCGCTGTACTCGTGCTTCTTGAAATATGGGCTATTTAAGTATGCACGTCTTTCGCTTATGTCTAAGACAGACATCTCAAATCATCTGCAAAAAAACAAGAAGTAATGCTAATTTTCAAGCACCAAAAGTTTCCAAGAATTAAATTCCATCGATTATACAGTTTTATAAAAATGCTAGTTGTGAAATAATTATATTTCTCAAAATTAATATAATTAGAAAGACTTAAATCCTAAATTAGTAAACAATGCAATTAAGAATGCATAAGCAAATGTAATATGTTTTGTTATTGTTAAGAAAATAATCAAGCTTGCGAGTGATGAGTAAGAAGTGAGTCAGAAGCGCAGCGTCCTATTTTACGAAACATCTCTCATGCAATTGAAGAGCGATTTAGGGCAGCGCGTATATAACATTTTCCAGCGGGTTTTCCAGCAGAAAAACGCAATTCGAATAATATGATTTGTGTAAATGTGAAATTACAAAAACAAGATTTACCTTCTTTTTCAAGTAGCTTCTGAAACGAGGAACTCTGCTGCATCTGCTGTTGTGCTGCGATGGTGGGTGTGGTGTGTTAACGAAGGAATGCGTTATGACTAAATCCAATTAACGTTAATCTAACGAGCGTCGTGCTCTTTCGTTGAAAGCCACAAAACAAATGATGGAACTCCTACTCTTCTTGCTGTTGCACCGTTATACTTCCGTTTGGAAGAAGGTTTTAAAGACAGCACACGCCGAAGAACTGGTGTAAACAATGACCGCTTGCTTTGCTTCACCTGCCTTTCTACCTGGTGACGCAAGCTAAATATTTAAATACAATACAGGTAGGTCTCAGGTGCGCAGTTGGTTGCATTATTAAGATCTCATAAAGGCTTATGGCCGCGTTTACTGTTGCTCCTCGCGGTGGATGGTTTCCTCGTCCCTTATCCCTTATGTGCAGACGAGCATTGCTACAATTACTCATTAATAACCCATTTGGCCTCGGTCGTCTCGCAGATATTATAATTGCGAATTTCCATTTAAGTGCCGTTCGTCAAAGTTCAGAGTTGCAGAGAGCTCGTATTCCAAATAATCATTACTTTTAATTGAAGCATTAAATATGTATTAATTGCAAGAAGACAATAACTAACAACGGTGAAATCATACGCGCGCAGTCATCAAATTTACAGCTTCTCTGCTTCAAACCGCATCATTTGTAATTTAATATTCCATTCAGATTTATACTAAAACAACATTGTAGAAAAACAAATATGAGTAGTGTCTCTTATGTACCCCATATTTTGTTGAATTTTAGCACAGTTTCTTTTACAATAAATAAAATCTACCTAACTGAATATTAATTATATTAATCATTATTAGTTAAAAATTAGCAGAAATATGAGACTAATATTTCTTAGAAGAGTTGGTTTTACTCTCGTTTTTGAATTTAATGTAGATTTATCAAGTTTAGTTTAAATGTGCCATGAAATAGTTATGTAAATTAAGTATTCTAAATCTCTCATTACAATATTGTATGTAACTAATATTTATGCCAATATAAGACACAATGTGTTTTCTTCTTCCAATAATGAGTTTCCTTCTGGAAATGTGAAGGGGTTTCCAGAAGGAAAGTAATTATTGGAAGAAAAAGACACATTCGAACATAATACACATCCCAATTATTTCATTAAACATTTAGTAAAGATTAGTGTGTATTAGAAAATATGATTATTCAATAGTTACGCTCGTAATTCAAATAATTGTTACTTTCAATTTAAGAATTTAATATGCATTAATTACAAATAGTTATGAAGTTAAGAAATTATTATCATGGGAGCATTATGGGGAAATTTCCAATATATAGATACTGCAGCAATTAAGATAAATGATGATAATTACATTAATATCATTTAACAAACAAAACCTTGTACTTATTCTTAAGTCGTTTTCCATATATAGGCAGTCAATGCTGCACCTGAGATCGCGTAATTGCATATAATTTATTAATGGTAAGTAAAAAAATCAATGGTTTCTTACAATTAGTAATAATGTGATCGAATTACATAACACATTTATATTGAAATATTACCATTGATGAAAAGATTTTACTACACATATTTCTTTTGTAAGAAAGTTTAATTTATTAATTGAAGTTTTTTTATAACAATGAGTATACAATTTGTTTATTTGTCTTATATTCTTCTGATGTTGCAAAATAATAACTGAAATTTGTTTTGAGAAAAGAATTTGCGGATATTTTCTCTAAACGCGATTTTCTAGGAGAGTGGAAATGTTAAAATTTGTGGACGAGTTTTCCCAACGAGCGTTTGAACTTTTATATGAGTTTTCATAGGCTTTGTTCGGAAAGAAACTTTGATACAATACGTTTTCAGGTTTTCATTTTTTTATTTAATAAATTGTCATCCATCAGTTTTATTTATAATCTATTTCCTTTGAAATTTTGGAAGATTTATTCACATCGCGTTTTTGGGGTGTAATTAAAAATATAAATAAAAGTGTATATCTTATTTCAAGCTTTTCCAAACTTTTACTTTGAAAATCCTGAAATTTTCACACCTTTTGAAGGGTAGCATAATCAATAAAATTAATTTCCTCCTATTCATATAGTTAGGTAAATACTGTCTTATTTGATGACGTGAATATCTTGTTTGAAATAATGTTGTTATAGGTGATTCTGTTTAATTCTTAATATCATTAAGATATTGTCTTCGGTTCGATACTGATTCTAAAAATGGTTGGTTAATTTCAGGAAGATCCCTTTGTAAGATCGTAGGATGGGTTTTATCATATAAAAAGACGCCAGTAAACGGGATTTATGTGCGGGACACTTTAATTTTGATGTCAACTTTATCATTGTTTGCGTAACGCGATCGCGCCTCCCGCCATTATTGTTGTGTGCGTGATTAAAGGATGTCGGGAATTTTATCCTTCCCGACACTATAAAAGGCCAAGGAAACGGGCTTTAATTAAATCCTGCCTTCACTCTTCCACTCCTACTCCTACTCCTCCACTTCTGCGTTGGAATCATCTTTCGGAAAACACTTCAATACTTGTAACACCTTATATACATTAGTCTACGATCTAATTAAATGCGAATCCCGGTAATTAATTAGTTTCCCGGGGTGCGCATTTCAATTAAAAACTCCACCGTCCGATTGGCAGCACTGCAATTACGCGTCTTCGCAATTACGTCCGGATTGTAATTAATTAATTACGTAATGAGTCCCAATTGCAGCAGCATTATACCCGGAGCTTTATTCCACCATCTCTCTCTCTCTCATATACAAATACAATCTCGCACGTTTTTTTTTCTTTGACCTTTTTTCTTCATTTGAATGTCCCCCAGAAGGTGACGCGTAAATAATCCGTGCGCATTACCTGAACGCTATTTAATTATTAAAGTTCGCTCTCTTTCAGGTGTAACAGCGATATTATGTAAACTCGTCTCCGCGTGATCCGAGCTTGGGTTAAGCTTCTCGCTCCTGGCCCCGAGTGTTAAGATTATATCGCGAATTATACAAAGACCTGCAATGTGCACATGCATAAACATGAAGTGGGATGGAAAGGGTCTTGGGCCCTTGTGTTTCTCGCGATTCTACTAACACGGCAATAAGTCGAAATTCGACTGTTACACAAAGTGAATCGACGATGCGAGAGCGTCGTGCGCGGAATAGAATATCATCATAATCATCATTGTAGTCATCGCAGACCTTGTACCCTGTTTACGTCTGCAGCAGTCGGATGGAATGTTATTGCACATGCAGATGCGGATCGTTTTACAACAGGAGTCGACACAGAATTCGGTTAATTGAAACACATTCGTTGCTCCAATTATATTCATTTGCAGATGCTCCAGTTGCGATCAATTAAATATGGGAAAACATCTTCATATTCCCACACATCCTTCCTTTCCTCTCATCAAAGATCCTTCCTCGATATTTTCACTTGATTTGGTGATGCAAACGATTTAAATTCCACACGTCGTGTATCCTCCTTCTCCTCTTCCACCTTGATGATGCCTTCTTCTTCTACACGAATCGCTCATAAATATTCCGCATTATTGCTATTATTATTATTTATCGACAAGTGCGATATTTTATTCCGCAATCGCATTTTTTTGCTCAAAACACTTTTAACTCACAATGAGCACGTACAGGCAAAGAAAAAAATATGTATATATTCATGTGCATGAACGAGTGAGAGCGTTCCTTTGATGCTCAACGCGAGTTTGAAATGCCTAAGCTCTTTGGAAAAAGTTACAAGACGTTTTCAAAACAACAATAGTACAACAAACTACAAGTGTAAATATTTTTTATTATTACATCTACATTCATTTATAGATCAAAGAAAACTACAGTATTTTTACTTAAATTTCATGAATCTAACATTTTATAATAAAAAAAAGACTTTGGTACGTTTTATAAGTACGTTCTATGTAGAAAATTAAAGTTATATTATCAAATTCTACTAAGTTGTACTTGGATTATCCATTTGTAATGATATAGAACTTCATGTCCATTGAGATGTCTACAAGATGTTTTGTACATCCAACCATATAATATTACTACTATAATAATCAGGTACTGCGGTTTTCCAAGTTCCACCGTAATTTCTGTTATGATGTTCACTTAGGTTATTGCGGCTATTAGCAGTGGTAATTTAGTGCTTGTTTGTGGAGTGCGTAAAAGCATTATTAATATACGCGCAGTAAATCTTTTTTTCCCTTCGCAATTCCGTCGTCCATGCACGTACTTGTTTTTAATATTTTTTTTGCTCTCTCCTAAACAAGGAATTCAAATCCCGGCGTGGACATAAATTTCGGCTCGGTAATCCCGGAACGCATTGAGATAAACAACTCAATGATTGATGAATGCTGTGCAGATTCGCGTAATTTCCCAATACTCATATATGGAAACACCCGAGGCGGATGGGTACCAACACCATCGATCGCTCGTTGTTATTCTTTTGTTCTTGCTGTTGTTGTTGTTGTTTTGAGATATTTATTAACGTTAGAGACAACACGAGGATTTGTTGTTTCTGTGCTATATTTTGTTCCTTTCTCTCTGTTTCTCTGCACTCTTTGTTTTTTTTTTCACGTGCACGAAACGTAATTAATTGCGACAGGGCGGGAAAATGATAAATCGCGCATCACGTGTATGGTAACTGGAGGGAGGGTGGACATCCATAAGATTTGAATAATCAATCAATTCGGCAATGTTCGCCGATATGGTGCGAGCATATCTGATGCGTTCCAATCGATTGTAATTAAAACAAAAAATACAGGATTCCTTGCGTCCGGAATTTTCATATTAAAATAGCTCTGCAGCCTCGTTTGTTTTTTCCCCCCTTGTGGACGGTGTTTCCTTGTTGCGAAATTTTCTGGTCTGCTAAACGGAGCCTCTAATCTGGTGGAGCTATTTCAGGAGACGGGCCGAGTTAATTTCTTGTCGCTAATCTAGACGTGGCCGACTTTAAGCCTGTAATTAGTAGATGTGATTAGGATTAGGGCTCCCGTTTTTACCGTCCCATCGGGAGAAGGTGTCCTCCTCCCATTTCCTTTTACTTCACGCTCGATCCGTGCAGCAGTTCATTAGCTCAATAACATCTGGTGTATTCAAACAGTAGCTATTCGCTCGATGCATCAACAACAACCAACAGAAAAAAATGTGCCTTTGAAATCTCGGTACACCTCATTACATCCACGAACAGCAACTTTATTATCTGCGTGAAACTTTGAGCCCGAGGCTGCTGTGGTGGAAAAAAAAAAATGGGAAGAAAAATATGGAACGAGGAAGATGCAAAAGAGA